TTTTTTTTTTTTTGGCTCAGAGCTTATGCAGGTTTTGGTTTCGGCATAAGTATCTGAGAAAGAGAAAGAAAAACCACCATGTATGATTTATAAAGGGTCATCAAAAGTCTGCACCCAATCCTTGAAACCAGAGCAGAAAAACCGAATCTACCGAGTTTTTTGATGTGTGACTGATGGATCAACAGCAGCAGCAGCAGGATCAGAAAGATGCGGATTATATGCACGATTGGAGCCAACAAACCAATGCAGGAAGCTCAGGAACCACGAAGGGACCAAGAAGAACTCCGAAAGATCGAAGATGAAGTTGAATTTGGTGTACAATGGCATGTAAATCTCCGTCGAATCTTCATTGTCGATCGTCTGGATGATCTTCTTCATTAGTTCATGCGGTGAAAGCCTTGGAAACATGAATTCGTTCCATGTCTTCACTTTAGTTTTTCAAAAATCATATGGCAGAAGAACAAAGTCAGTTTTTTCTTATTATGATTAACTTTTTTGGGGGGAGGGGGAAGGATAAGATAAAAAGAAGTTCTGCGTACCATTTTCGAACATTTTGGTGTTCATCAAGCCCGGACAAACAAGAGTGGTATGAATCCCATGAGCATGGTGTCTGTAAGAAGACGAACGTATGAGTACATGAACCGGGAAGATGGTAAAGACCCAAAGAGAGACGGACACTGAGTGTAGTTCTTCTCTCAAGGATTGATGCAAGAGGATCGCGGCGGCTTTGGAGGCGCAATAATCGGCTACTCGGGAGACCCCTACATGGCCCAGGATCGAGGCCATCGTCACCTGTCCAAAAAGCAACAACCCCCAATCGCAATCAGAAATCAATCAGTCTTCAGAAGTGTATTGACGGCGGCGAAAGCCAGGAGAGTTTTGGACGAACGATGTGGCCTGAGTTGCGTTTGATCATGTCTGGTAGGAACGCCTTGTAGAGATAGAAGTGTGCAAAGACGTTGACGGCAAAGGTCCTATGTACACATCAACAAAAAGAATGATGGTCGGTCAGCTTTCATAGAGCGGAGAAAGAGACGGTTCAATCTCGTTAGAGACATACTTTTGGAGCTCGTCAGGCTCGAGTTCGAGGAGCGACTTCCCGTGCACGATTCCCGCGTTATTGACGATGATCGTGGGTGAGCCGACATCTTTGCGGATCTGGATGGCCGCCTTTTCGACAGCTTGAGGGTCGGAGACGTCGCATTGGTAGAACTTGAGGTCGCCTTCTTCTTCCTCGTCGCGATCTATTTTACGATCCAGAAGATATAATCAGATCATTAGGGCCGGAAGGAGAAATGGAGAAAGGGACGGACCGGAGAAGGGCTTGATATCGAGGACGATGACGGAGATATGTTTGAGCAAGAGGGTCTCGACGAGCACTCTTCCGAGCCCCTCGCTGCCGCCGGTGACGAGGACGACCTGGTCGTTCCAATCGATCTGGCCCCGTCTCCAGCGCCGGTTCCTCCACATCTGCGAGCTCCAACAGAGCGCGGTCCGGAACAGCACAAACCACAGGAATCGCAGCGACCAATAATAGAAGCCCGGCGCACTCTGGCCTAACGCTAGCAGCGGAATCCAACATGCAAAAAACGGAGAGAGAAACGTCCGCTCGGTCACCGAATATAATACATCGATGTCTGTTACAAAAAAAAAAAAAAAAAACAGGGTTCTCGTTAGGGGCGGGTGCTGTTCTTGGCCGTCGGAACCGCAAAAACACTTACTGATCGATCGGAGGGTGTGTTTCAGCTCAGCGAAATCCATCGATCAGAGAGTCTTCTACTATGCAATCTTGAGAAACCGATTCGAGAAGTAATTCAAAAAAAAGTGTTGTTGTTTGTTCTGAGATGGATCGTTGAAGAAAGGTTGCCAGCAGCCACTGAAAGGATGTCTCATTCGCCCACAAGTATGTACTTTAAACTCCCTGGATGTTATGGTGTACATATTCTTCGCATCCTCTCCTTGGTTATTTATGCTCGATGGCAGAGATCGTTTGTCTGTTTGTTGCATTGGCAACCGTTTCCTGCTTGAAATGTGTGTGCGGATCACCGGCGGGATCCAACGGGTCCCGGGCGGGTCCGCCGCCGAATTTTATGTAAGGCCGGCCGTGCGCGCCGTGATTACATAATATGAAGTACAAAGAGCCCGGGGGGTGCCGGAGTCCTCTTGAGGCTTCCACCTTGACACCGGCCACACAAACAAAAAACCACCAACTTCGATCGAAGGACAAACGCAAGATGGCCATCAACCGATTCACACACGAGATCTCGAAAGCGCAAATCCTAAAACGGATCGAATCGTTTGGGTACAAGCTCCAAAACAGGTATATAAACTTGAGGAAATTTACAACACACCCCCCAAAAGAGAACTAACGATGAGGATATACAATAGACAGATCGTGGGCTCACATGCGACCGGCTCGGAGACAATCAAGCTCTTGCGAGAAGTCATCGCCAGTGCTAAGTTCTCTTCGTTCGACCAACTGTGCGGCCATTTGGTCGAGGTGGGCGATTTCTTATCCGAAATCGCTCCCAGAGGTTCAGTCTCTTTCTCTCCTTTCAATTGTGTACAGACTCCAAAATTTGGAAAGACAACAACCTGGGGAACATTCTTGGTCTCTGACGGTGTTTTTTATGTGAACAGAATTCGTGATCGGAAATATGGTGAAACGGGTGATCATTCTCTTGAAAGAAGAGTCAGTAAACTTCCTGATTATTAAACATGAGATGTGGAGAATATGAACGATTAAAACGACAATCATGTGATGATTAGATATGCGAGTGCATTAGCAAGCCACATCGAAGGGAATTCGGAGCGACTGAAGACGAGCAAGGTGGGCAGCGACACGCATTACCGAACCACGACCTCGTCCTCGCATTGCAGCACCTCCCGGAGCCCGGGGATAGTCGAAGAGAGCGTCTCGCGACTGTTGGGACAGAAGCCGATGACCACCGAGCTGTTGGAGGAGGACGAGAAGATCCCGGCCGACCTGATCAACGAGGAACGCGCCTTCAACGCTAACTCGTTGAGCTTGAAACCGATCTTCATCGAGGCCGTTCAGGAACTCTATGATGAGTTGGATCTCGTCTTGGAGGCCGTCGCCGCTCAGGCTTCTGAACATATTCATTCTGGGTATCCTCTCTCCTTTGCTTCTTCTTATCTCAAACAAAAAAGGGGGGGGGGCTAACTTTTCCTCATGTATATATCAAAAAAAGAGAAGTGATTATGACTTTAGATAATTCAAGAACAGTGACGAGTTTCCTACAAGCAGCAGCAAAGAACAAGCGAAAGTTCACGGTGATAATCTCGGAGACGGGGCCGGAGTTTCGAGGGCGAGAGTTATCGGGGAAGCTGACGAGTTCGAGTCCGAAGATCCCGAACATAGTGACGAGTGATGGGTCGACGTTTGGGCTGATCTCGCGCTGTACGAAGCTGATCATCGGCTGTCACATCGTCTTTGCCGACGGCTCGATCCTGGCCAAGTCGGGTTCCTTGGGCCTCGCCCTGGCCGCTAAGGTCCATAACGTCCCCGTCGTCGTCATCTCTGGGATCTTCAAATTCGCCCCCGTCTATCTCAGCGCCGGCGATCAATGGACTACCCTCGATATCAAGACCCCCGACCAAGTCTTGGCTATCGATCAGATCCTCCCCGACCCCCCTCCAGCTGCCTCGAAATCCAACCGAGCTTCTATCCATCCGCCTCCTACTCCCGGTCAGATCGAAGTCATCAATCCTTATTACGATCATGTTCCTGCTCATCTGATCAGTCTGTTTATCACTAACTTGTTGAGTCTACTTTCTCTGCACTTGTTTTCTTACTTCTCCAATCAAAAAATTATTCTCTTTCTAACGTCCTTCTTGGATGTCGTTTTTTCAGAGGCGGTCATCCTTCTTCATTGGTTTATCGTCTATTGAAAGACTTGTATGGGGCATAACTCGCTCATCTCTCTCTTTCTCTGTAATATTGACTTGGTTTTCAACAAAAAAAGATACATATAGAATAAGATCTTCTCAATAATAAAACCCGTTTTATTGAATCCTTAACAAAGGAACTCTTCTTTTGTGTCGACAATAGCTCAATCTCACCCCGTCTGCCATTGGATAAAGAGCTTAGGACATGTTTGTACTGTGCAACATCTCCATAATTTGTGTCAGTACACTTGGGCAGATGAACAGTTCAGCAAGTGACGTTGTCTGGTCGGGTTGATTAACCTTACAGACATCAATGGCTCAAGTTTTTTTTTTTTTTCAATTTGGTACAAGTACATACAGTAGTGACGTCTAACATCAAGAAAAGGGGGATTCTGGAGGATCTGGGCGGGATCCGTATCGCTAGAGATGGACAACAGTGAGGGGAAAACAAGTGTTGGGTGGGTGTTGATTCAGAAAACAAAAAGACTAGAAAAACAATCAACAATGATGATGAAAACAGAAACATGGGGGTTTGTACAGGACGATCGAGCAGAGTTGAGAGCATCTTCAATGTAGACTTTTAGATCATAGCTCGACGCTTAACAGCTCGTTTGTTGTGGGCTGTTTCAGGGGGGAAAAGGAAAGAGTGATGATACATACGTCAACTGGGTGAATTGAAATTGATTTATTACCTTGCAGGCCGGGAGCCGAGCATGGGAAGGGCACTTACTCTTCGGCTTTGGTT